TTACGCTCTTTACGGCATTCTCCAGATCAAGAATCCTCCTCTCCTCTCCCTGTCGGCCAGTGAGAGCTGAAGTCTGGCTAACCTGCAACAAAAAGAAAATCAGGCTCAACAAACTCCAGTGTCACTAATGTAAAGCTTACAGTGAGCCTGTTAAGTCAGTATTATCTAACCATTACATTGTCCGACCAACAGTTTAAACCCCAATGATATGTAAGTTACTATTACAGAAACAATCGATTTTCTTTTGGATCAAAAAAGACCAATGATCAAGTATCACAATTGTAGCTAATTAGCTTTCTGTCAATGGACTTATCGATGTATTGACCAATCCTTGCAGCTCTAGCTTCTAGCAAATTAAAACTATGCTTAACTCTGCAACTTGTTAACATCAGAGCAGTCATGCACACCATGCAAGGTATTACTCTGTACTAACCTGTAATCTGTCCATCAGTGTGTCTCTTTCAGAGGTCAGCTGATGGATTCTGATTTCTGCCTGTTGGACCTCCTCCTTCAGTTGTAAGAGATCAGCTGACATACCTGTGCTGTGAACCAGCTTCAAGTCCTCTTGAGCCTGAGTGAACAATACATTAGGTTGTTTAAAAGTGTAAAAGAAATTGTCCAGCTTGTGGAATAATAACTTTCTATAACTCACTTGTTTAAACAGCTTTTTGAAGTGGTCTCGTTCAGAGCTGAGGCCCTTCACATTGCTCTGGATGTCCTCCATGTGCCTCTCAAATCCCAGCAGAGCAGCCTTCAGCTCATCTCGTTCCTTTAATAAACGCACAAGTTCTGTCTCAGCAACACCTCCCTGAAAATGTGAGGTTAAAATTCAAGTTTAAAAGAGGATTATCTGAAAAGCTGTTATAGAAGTGAACATGTTTTTTATTGTCACTGCTTACCCTCGTTGCTTTGGACTGAGGACTCCTGCCCCGGGTTGGACTACGACTGGGGCTTAAATCTGGGCCCCCGGCCCCTCTGGCTCTTTTGTAGCGCTCAGCCTCCTGACGATAGTAATCCCGCTCCTCCTCTAGACTTTTGACAAATGCATCTAGCCGCGAGGGCGAGCGTTCCCTTCCACAAACACCATGTTTAGCTCGCATGCTCTCCAGCTCCAGCACCAGGTCTCTGTCTAGAAAACAGCAGCAGGTAGGTAATACACCTATGTCAAGAAATCTATTGCTGCTATAAGCAGTTTCAACAGGTGCTTACCTGCTGCCATCATTCTCTCCATCTTGTCCTGCAGCCTGATTTTTTCCTCCTCTAGGAAATTCACCAGTCCCTCCATTTTCTCATTCTGCTCTTTGAGCTCCACCAGCTGGTCTCTGAGACGGCCTTTCTCAAAGTCCCCTTCAGACTGCTCCTAAATGTAATCATTGCCAACACTTTAGCTTGGGTAATAAAACAGGACAGACTTATGGTAACATAGAAACGTTAAGGATCTACTGAAGAATGTCAAATATATATTAAGTATTGCAGAAAATGACCATATTAAGTGTATATACATACCCTTCTTGTTTTTGTTATGACATCCTCCAAGTCTTCAATGATGCTCTGTTGCCTTTGAATGTGTTTCTGTTGAGATAAAGTTTCCAGGTTTTACAAGCAGAATGAAAATCCAACACTTTTATATTATCTCTCCTCCTGGCTGTTCTTACTTTCGTTTCTTGCAGTTCCATGTCAGCAGTTTCCAACACGTGCTCTTTGTCCATCTCCAGGCGCTTTGCCAGGTCGTCAATGTGCGTCAGCTCTTCACACAGTTCCAGGTTCTTTATGGAGAGATTGGCCACTTCGCAGGAGGCATCCTTCTTCCTCTGCTGCAGACCCGCCACCTTTTCCTCTAATGTCATGTTGGTCTCCTGCAGGTATTCAATCTGTAGAACACAACGCAGCAGCTACGAGTCAGCAGAGAGGAGGGTGGGTACGAGCAACCATGCAGACTTCTCTTATAGAGGAAATGTTTTTAAAACCAGGTGAGTTACTTAGAAAACGTCATGTTCTAGTAATATCCTGTATGCATTATACATCAGGGTAAATATCCTGTTTGACTACAATGCTTGCCTGGAGGTTAAGATGGGCAATCAGTTTCTCGTTGCTGAAGTTCTGAGCCTCGAGAGAAACTACATCGTGAGGTCGTCCTCCGTGAAGAGCACGGTTCAAACGCTCAATCTCTTTATTCCTCTCCTCCACCTGAAGGGTTAAGAAAATAAGTCTCGTCATGTCTTTAGTAACATTTGACTTGTCATAGTAGGAAATGATTCAGCTTTCTTTATTTCTTACCTGTGTATTTAAGTGTTGAATAAACTCCTGAGCATTTTCCAGGTCCAGTTTGACTTTGATGATGTCTTCTTGTAACTCACTTATTCTAGAAATAAAAATGACCATCAGTCAGGTTGTCGCTAAGAAGCATGCAAGTATATACGAACAACACATCCATTGAGTAGCTCCCCACTCCCTTAATAATACAGCTCAGCTTTAACATAAAAAACTAACCTTCCATCGGCCAAAAGAAGGAGGTCAGCTATATACGGATCATCAGGCTGCGACACAGGATAACCAGATGTAGAGGAGGAAGGTATGAGATCATCAATCTGCATTCTCTGACGTCTGAAAGGGATGCTGCGCTTCTTTCCACCTGTGAGTGTGTGTAAGAGTTACTTTTAAATACTTACTTTTAAATCCAGGCTGAAGACTTTTCTTTTTGTCGCTGCTTTTAATTGAACTATTCATATCTTAGACTGCACTGTAACTTTGATCCATGTATTTTTTCTTTTAATGTTTATTTTATTAGCTTTTCTTTTTAATGACTGATTTTAAATGCCACTTTCTTAATCTCTTTCATTTTTTGTAAAGCACTTTGAATTGCCTTGTGTTGAAAAGTGCTATATAAATAAACTTGCCTTGCCTTGCCTTAAGAGGAAAGAAGGATACAATTCTTCAGTTATGGTTAACTTTAGATTTCCCTTTTATACCCACGTCATATGTTACTTTCAAAGCAATGCATCCAGTTCAGGTCAGATCCCTGATATTACCTGGTGTCTGCACCACAGCTTGCATGTTTTTCTCCTGCAGCTGTTGGATGCGCTCAGCTTTAGCCTTGCTATCCTTCTCCAAACAGCGAACTTTGTGCACATACTGATTATTTAAAAACTTCAGGTCCGATGTCTGATGGTCCAGTTTTCTGATGTGGGTCTTGAGTTCTAAAACAAACAAGATAGTGTCAAATAATGTTGTGTGTGCTGGTGAAGGATAAGGGAAACTGTTTCAATTTGTACTGAAGAGGGGGACAACTGGTTATCGCAGCTTACCTCTGCTGACACGGTCTTTCTCCTCTTTCAGCTTGAGAAGTTCGAGGTGCAGCTCATTGTTCTCCCTGACTGCCCGGGCATTCTCTGCCCTGTATGGCTCCAGAAGAGCATCAAAGTTTCGAGTTTCTTTTTCAGTTTTCCCCGCTGACAGTTTGGCATTGCGCAGACTTTCAGTTGTGTGGACCAGGTCACTGTAATAACACATGTAACAAATGTAAGAACATCTCATAAACCTCTACAGACTGGCTGATAATAAGGAAAGAGCAAATGCAGGAGGATTAAAGGTATTACCTGAATAGTTTCTCCACTAGAGGCAGTGACTCTATTCCTAGTGGGTGTCTGTAGCCCAGCTGATCCAGACGCTTCCTCAAATTGACAAACTTCCTCTCTGCATTGTTGTTCATGGCTGTGATGTGACACTGACGTTTACATTAACTTCAGATAAAGATAAACTTATATTGAACCCATTTTGGGAATGTATTTCATTACATCAGCATGTAGACAAGCATTGCGGATTTATTCAAAACTGAATAAAATATAAAATAAAAAGCAAATATGTATAAACTGTAAACAATAAACAAAACTGAACAGTACATATGTATATATTAACAGTGAAATATATATAGCTCCTAGAGTATCTCTATTGAATATACAATATTAATATAACGATTAACAAATATAATTGAAGTCGGTGTACTTTGATAGGCCAGCCCATGACTATTATCAGGACTTATATTGTCCCGCCTCAAAACCCACCTCTTCAACTCTGTATCCATAAGAGTTCCATAAGAGTGTAAACTAAATGACAGAAGCTCACAAAGTTAGCCAGGTATTTATTGATAGCTAACGTTACTTAGCTAGCTTACATGCTAATAAGCTGACATTAGCCTTATGTGTGGTTGACTAGCTATTGAGCTAGCTTGTGCGATAACAACAACAACAACAACAACAACAACCACTAACCAGCTAATGTTAACTAATGAACCTAGCTAGCGTTAGCAGAGTCACAACTTACCGGGTAGTGGACACCGCTTTGCTGACAGCTAGCTTAACGGACGTTAACGTGTTTCTACATCACCGACTTAAATGTATCTTTGTTTCGATAACTTGCAATAGACTTGTGGTATTTAAGTTAAAGTTTGATAATCATCAGCTCTGGTTTTAACATGTTCTCGCGGTAAAGGGGTTTGAAAAGAGCGCCGATGATCTCCAGTTTGGATTCGTCGCCATGGAAGTTAGTGAAAGCATTTGGGGGAGCTCGTTTTGTGAGCCGGCGTTGTCAGGATGGAGGGCGGAGACAAGGACGTTAATGGGTATTTATTGTAAAAGTCGGACTGTTTGGCACTGAATGGATATGACTGACTATATATAAAACAATTCTTGCATTCAAATATAAAGTGAGCTGATAAATATTTTATTTTTTAAATGTGCCTTTTTTAAACTGAACTACGATTATGATATGATCTATAATCAAACAATTCTGCAGTAAACTACATTAAAATTATCACAGGGATCTTGAACAAGAAAATGTTGGGATTTTCAACGATAGCTATTTTAAATAAGCTAAATGTGCCTCTTTAACATGTATGCATATTGGGTATATACAAAATACTGCAGTAGAAATGATCATAATTACATTAGGCATTACACAAATGTCACATGAACAACAATAAAAAGAATGACACATATTCGATATAGCATTGAATGGGTCAGCAGCAGCGAATTTATTATGTACATATGGCATAATGAAACAATACAAATATAATAAACAATTAAGTATTTAAGAGAAGAGTTGATGAATCTCAGAAGAACAGGCACACACATTGCAGAGATATCTGGACCACTTACCAATGCACCAATCCCTTTCATGAACATACAGACACACTCAAAGGAAATGTTTATCAATAAAAAAAAACAGTATAGTATATACGGGGAGTTAGTGACTAGCTAGTTTATCATCAGTCAATGTGAGGCAGTCGTGAAAGTGCATAGCAGCGAGGCTAATGAGACTGAGCAATGCTGGAGAAGTACTCCAACATGTCCCCGATGGTAAACTCCATAGTGATTCCAGAGCCAGGGTAGCATCTGCCGATTAAGTCTTCAAAGTGCTTGTACTGACGGATGAACTCGTCCTGCATGGAGTGCCACACCACCTGGTGGAGAAATCATCAAGTACAAAACTTCAGATTCAGATCAACTTTATTATCCACACATCCTACAGTTAAAACAATAGAATTACATACACATGTACACCTTTAATTACATAGATTTGATCACACAGTAACAATATGGCGTTTATTGTCTGAATCAAGTTTGAAGTATTTGTGTTATTTTCTATATTTCCTAATTCATTTTTGTGTCTGGCAGTGCATTTTTTTTTCCGTTTTAAATGAATAACCATGAAGATTGTGACACCGCTGACAAGATAAGCAATTTCCCATTATAAAACGTTGATTCCTCACCTGTAGCAGACTTTCTTCTTCACACAGATGTTTGTCCACCTTCTTGTAGAGGTTGTCAAGTCCCTTTTTCACCTCTTTGCCAGGATACTCTTTGATAACTTTGCGCAGCTCTTGTTTGTTGAAGGCTAGCTGGTAGCTCACCTCCTCTTCACGAACACCCTGAGCTACACGGGCCTCGACTCCTTCGAAGAAATGCTGCAGGAGGGACATTTAGCACAGTTTCACTATGATGCATCGAATACAACCTCTCTGTAAATGCTCAATTCCAACACATCAGTACTGTAGAAATGTAGAAATAGATGCAGATGTAGAAACTTTGTGATAACTCAAAAAGGTATTTTGAATTACATTGAGTTTCTCCAGAGGCTGCCCCAGAGAGTTGATCACATAGGACTGCAGATGGTCTGTGTATTTGTGCTTGGCCTCTCGCCTCTCTGCCTCCAGGCAGGAGATCTTTAGGCGTGACAGAGTTGAGAAGATGTGGTGGAAATTCTCCATCATCACAACGTCCCGTGGGGTTTTCTGGCTTTCATTGGCTACCTTCTCCACTGAAAAGATAATATTCAGAAGTTTGTATCTGAGCATCACCATAAAGAATTACATCATCTATATAAAGCCGATAATTAGGCGATCAGGGGTCTCACCGTTCATGAAGACAGCCCTGATCAGTTTGACGTAAGCTTTATCCAGGTCCCCTCGGCGCTCTGCAACACGGAAGATTGTCTCAGCCAGCTCAGCAAACTCCTCAAACCCGGCTACAAAAAGCAGGATGCCCACTTTGCTTTTCTTTGATATCTTCACCTCCTCCATCTGCCTGATCTGACCAGACTGTGAGAAAAAGACAGATGGTATTAAGCATCATATCTCTGCATTAAGACCTTAACCATTCTTTCAAAAGACTCTACTCACAATGCATTTGTCAAAGTTCCTCTTGACAGTGACCAGCACATTTCCTAAAGTGGTGCTGAGGTAAGAGGCGGGGTCAACGTTCTCAGCCGTCCACACATGGTGACTCATCTTCACCAGCATGTAGAGAGAGTTGAAGCTGTCGATCTTATCGCCCAGAGCGATGAGACTGTTGAGCTCCGTCTCGATGCTCTGGAAGATCTTATTCATCATCAGCCGCACAAGGTCTTTCCTTCAATCACGAATAAGAAGGGAACAAGACAGGAACTTGAGTTAATACACAAGTGAAACCAGAAGAAGGGAGCAATTCATATAAAATATATATAATGTTTTCACCAGTGAAAATGGCAATATGAAACTACTCACTCTGATGACAAAGACTGTCTGTGTTCAGCCTGGGGAGGAATTCTTGACTGCGTGCCTCCGTCTGTATCCTCTGTTTCAGGCTGGCAAAAAATACACAAGACATGACAAACCAAGGAAAAAATCCGCTGACACATAAATACGAATGATGCTGCACCTGTAATTCCTGTATTATATCATGCTCTAAGGAAAGAAAACACTCAAATGCCAGGACAGCCGAGTAAAGCTACTAACATAAATTGAAGACAATTTCATGTGTTATTAAAGACCAGACATCAGTAGGTGGTATAATGTATGACCCCTTAGCTATTTCCAATCTTTGATGACATGTTTAAGATAAGATAAGATAAGATGGACTTTTATTAATCCCGTGGGGAAATTCAGTAGTTCAAACAGCAACAGGGTTAGATTGAAAAACAGGACAGCACAGATTCACACAGATTAAAGATGAATACAATTAAAGATAAAATAAAAATGATATACAGTTAAGTAACTTTAAAATAAGAAATGAATTAAAATGAACACATATACATATTTAGGTCATATATACATATTAGATATATTTACATGTATGTGTGTCGGTAAAAAGTGTATATTTGATGTCCAGTACTTTACCTGAGCAAGAGGGGGTGTAACGGTCGGGTGCTGCTGCAGCTTGAAGAACTTGCTGATGAAGTCTTGTTCCGCAAGACACAGAGGCTCCAGCTCACTGAGAACCTGCTCAAATATCTGCAGAAAGAAAAGAAAATGTTATCCCTCGATGCAAAACTAATGTACTCACAGCGTTTTAATTGAGTGGTTTGATGAAAATTGCTGAATCTCACCTTGTCAAACTTGGTCCTGTCGGCCACGTCCAGGTCGGAGGCAGACATGTTTCCCATGTCCAGCAGCGAGGAGGACTGGGAGCGCCGGCTGTTGGCGCCCTGCACCGTCAGCTTGTTCAGGCTAGAGGTGGAGCCTGTCAGTTTCCCAGAGCTGCCATGAAGGCCTAACACAGCACAACAAATACAGTGATTCAGTGTCATGTGTTCAGTGAGAGTCAAACAGAAGGATTAGGAAAGTCAATCAAGACACGATTCGATCATTTGCATAGTCAAATGATCAAATAAAACATCAACGGTTAGCTTTTGTAGGCATGTCGCATTGAATTCAGGATATGTCATGAGCTGCATTGTGAAGATTTAGCACAAACCAACCAGGTACATGGACAGATCATGGTTGGCAGAGCATAATGTGGATATAAATCAGGGCAGCGAAAGGTTTGAGCCAAAGATTTGTTTTAGTGCAGCTATCCAAGAAGCAGACAGTGGAATAGAGCTATCCAAATGTCATACTTACTTTCTGTTTCCTGTTTGAGTGCACTCTCTTTCCGCGGAAGCGTAGCTGCAGCCAGTTAGAAAGGCAGGCATCAAAGACAGAGACAGGTTAGGCTTACAACATGCAGCATGAGAGGGGGGGAAAGATGTTAGATGAGGTACAAAGTCACGTATATGCTGACGTGCACTGCAGTGGCTTAGGTATGCTTGTAGCTCAGCCAAACTTTTGGAAAACAATACATTTTTGTTTTCAGCCAGAAAAGCTGAAAGCACTTCTACCAAAAACAAAAACTCAACCAAGAGTCCTCTTCAGCATTTTCTATTAAAAAGACAACATGTAAGGTCCTTTTAAAAAGGTAAAAAAATAGATTTCATAAGAAGGTAAAACATAATGCAGGACTTCAGCACCTGGAAGCACACATACGTTGGGAAGATATGCTCCTGGTAACAGATGTGGAGCAGCAGAAATGGTCCTTTTTGTATACATTAATATTCCATTAACCTCTGTGAAATAGTACAATGGACAAAATAATCTAAGGATGCTGGGAAATTGTTATTGTAATTGAGTACTTCATGTTGCAATTTTTTTTAGAAAGAGGCAAAACAGATGTTACTTGAAAATCCTAAAACACTCATAATAACATCAACTGCAGAAGACAAACATGCTTTATGCCCACGCTCCAACAGGGCAGTGAATCAAAGCTCTTACCAAACTTGCCCTTGGCCTCCTTGGTTGTCCCCGCCATTTTTATCTTGGCCACCTCAAAGAAGTCTTTGATTTCTCGTTCATATAATCTGCTCATGTAGTCAACATAGGTCTACAATTTTTTTAGAAGAAAAACACAAAATATTCAGTTTTAAAAGCATAATTCAACATTTTGAAACAACATATTTGCTTTCTTGCTGAAGATTAAATAAAAGATCTGCTCATGTCTTTGTGAGTAAGAACTTGGCTTCGGAGCTAAAGCAAGCAGCTACCTGACTGTAGCTGCATATTATAAAATGGTAGTTGTTGCTACCACTGTTTCCAGGGTTGTCACTAAATCAACCAATATACAAATCTAAAGGATTCAAATGAACGCACGCTGTGGTATCAATCGTCTTATCTACTTTCTGATTTAGCGCATGAATGTATCTTCACAATTTCTTAAAACATGTTGTCTGAGAAGAGTACTGACCCTGGACAGGCCCTCGTACTTCTCCCTGTGGGTGTTCTTAAGCCACTCCATGAGCTTGGAGTAGCGCAGCAGGTCTCTGTGGAGCGGGCTGTGTTTGGGCAGGCTCATCTCGGCAGTGTGCTGCGACAGGGTGGAGCTCTGGTCATGGCCCTGGACAACAAGCAGAGACACAATTATAAATACTTTCAATAAGAGATAGAGTCAGTGGCGGTTCTAGACCAATTTGACTGGGGGGGCCAGGCTGGGGCCAGTTATTTTCTGAGGGGGGCACAATAAATGCGGGACGAAAAAGACAAAGACAGTAGGAAGTAATTGCGCATAAGAAAACAATGCAATACAGCTATTGGTATTTGTTTCAGTACACATATTTATTTCAGATACTTACGGCCCGTCTACACTACAGGCATCAAACAATCTTGAAGCTGGGCGTGTCTGAAGCTTGGCCATTCTTTGCGAGCAACGCGACCAACAACCAATCACATGAATCTCCCGCCCCCGACATACAAAGCAATAGCAATGTGAAAACGAAGTAAACTGGATATAAAATCCCCAAACAGGTGAAAACCTACCAGTTTCACCCACTGTCTCTGCCACCTCCCTCCATGCCTGGTTCCTCCGGTTTGTATCCCGGTAAATAGTTCTGGTCGGAAAGAACCGGGTGATTTGCTACCGTAATTTCTCGTTTGGAATATGAGGAAATGAACTGCGGTCTGGCTCTCCCAGCTTGCACGCGGTTTGATTGGCTAGCGCTTGTACTGGCGGGAATTGCAAAAACGGGATTTGATTGGCTGACGCCAGCTTCGAGCAAGCATCGAGCCTCAAAAGTTGAACATTGTTCAACTTTTGACGCCGATAGACGCTCGCTATGCTTGCAACGCCTTGCCATGCTACCCACAATGCAGTTCGGCGAAGTTTGAAAATATCCTACGTCACCCCATTCAAATGAATGGGCGAAGCGTTGAAAGCATTTTTTGACGCCTGTAGTGTAGACGGGCCGTTATAGTTACAGTTTTTACGCTCTATAGGTCCGACTAGAAAGACAAATAGCGTTAGTTATGCCTATTCCGTCAGCCAAGAAATCGTTTAATCATAAACTTTTATTTTTATTTATTTTTTCAGGGGGGTCCAAAGTCAGTGTTAGGGGGGCTGGCCCCCCCCTGCCCCCCCTAGAACCGCCCCTGGATAGAGTAGACAAACCTTATATTAAGTCCCATTCCATCTGTGCACACGCAAACACACTAATTACTTTCCCTCTACAAACATCTGGGGATTGGATATGTTACCTCAGATTACCACAAAACCAGATGTTTTAGATAGATGATCACTTGTACAGCTCAACTTATTACAGATTTTAAGAAAGCGCAACTCTTACTGCCATACTGATGTTCCCCTTATTGTTGTTCATGTTTTTCAGTAGCTACTGCTTGTGCTACAAGACATGCACTCAGAGCAGACAGGCACTTTATGATATGAGACCTTTTGCAACAAAGCAAAGTTAGCACCCAAACACAAAAAGAGCCCTCAGCTGAGTGCAGGCCGTTGATGAAGGAGGAGAAAAATGACGAGCGGTGCCTCTTCAGCTTTGAGATAAAATGAGACATGTTAAGTAGTTAGAAACATATCCCATGCAGAAAATAATAGGCTATGTTAGGATATGGAAGACGTGAGGTCTCTGGGGTAATGACATGTAAGTGGGAGTCAGTCGTGGTCAAACATTAGCAAAGAGGGGGCGAGTGGGGGTTGCTGTGAAGGTACTCACTGGAAGAGACAGACAGGAGGACCTATAGAACTGAGGGATGGTCATTTTGAAGTGACTGAAGTGGTTGAACTGACACAGAGACAGAGAGCAGAGTGGGATGATTCAAAGTGAGCAAGGAGACAAGAATAGGAGGGACACAACAAGGAAATGACAAGAGGCAGCCCAGGAAGAGAGTCAGAGCTAAACAGGAAGTCAATGTGGGGGAGAGAAAAAGAGTGAGAGAGAAAAGCCTGGGATAGAACAGGAGGCTGGTGCAATGGCAAGTTGTGAAGACGACAAAATGTCGCCTCTTAAATCTGCGGAGAAATCCTGCTTCCTCCATGTGTTGCTCAGAAAAACAAGTCAAATATCTTGACTTGAAGGTATTAAGTCATTTCTTTTGTAGTCTCTGATATCGCCAAAGCAAACAAAAACTTAAAGCAAAAGAACCATAACGTTTTATAAAAGCCTGTTTAATTGCACAGCAGGTATGATCAGCAAAATGTATCTAAAAATAAAAATACTCATTCTGCACTACAGAGCTTGCAACTGATATATTAGTTATACAAGACATTATAACTATTATAAATACTGATGCAAAAGTATGTATGCAGCTTATTACTGTTATAGATAGACCTAGTTTATACTACTTTATCTTCTTAACTACAAAAACAAAAATCTGATATCCTAATTAAGTTCCCAGTTAATCCTAATATCCTAGTGAGATAACCTACCACCTAAAAGTATAACTTGGAAGGAATCAAGCTACACTAAATGCTTTTAAACAGGTTCAGTCCCTTGTCAGTGCAGTGAGCCTGGTTACCTGGTGAACAAACACGTTGTTGAGGTGATTGGTGAGGCGGCGAGCGAAGGTGTCTCTCAGCTCAGCGAACAGGAGCTGCTGCTGCGTAACAGCCATCAGCTTGCCGTGGCCTGTGGAAGGAGAGGAACACTTTCATAAAGCCATTTACAGGCCGGGGAAATGTACCTGCATTTGTAAGGAATCAACATCAAAATCGGCTCGTTACAACACTGAGGATCATTTTACAAATCAAGCTAATTGAAATCTAAGTTTTCAACCACCGAGAGTTTCACACCAACAGTGGCAAACAGCTGATTTAGTTGATGAATAAGTGAAGTGTAAACTAACCTGGTCTGAGGGCCACGTTCATGCACTGTGAAAGAGCTTCAGAGGCGTTGATGCAGGCCTCGATGCCTTTAGGGGAGGTCAGGTCTCCCTCCTGCAGCGCTCTGATGTGTCCCTTTGACAGGTCCATGTAGTTCTGCATGAGGAAAGACATTCATTAAAACAGTCTAACAATCTAACAATTACATATTAATTGAAGTGCATTTTCAACCCTACAAATGTAACAAACATGATTTTTTGGAAATATTTCGCCCAGTTATTTGAGACTCATATTTGTTAGCTGTAGTTGTAGTTTGTTATCTCTATATCTCCTTATTCACATATTTAAAGACTAAAGTGGTGAAAACTTCATGAGAGGATCTCTGCTAACTGGCAACAAATCAGCTATGGGCTCTAATCAAAGAAGTCAAGTGTTCCTCACCACTAAGAACTGGATCTCGTCCAGCAGCTTGACGTTGTTTGTGTTGCTGATCTGGATGAGGCGGTTGCTCTGTGAGATCTGGTCCATCTGCTCCTTGACGCTCTGAAGCATCTCCTCGTAGCTGCTCAGCTTCCCCTCGATGGTGTCCACCTCCCCCAGCGCCTCGTCCAGCAGCTGCATCAGGATATTGACCTGCTTCTCTGACGCCATGATGGACTGGATATTGGCCTGAAAGTAGAGGACGTTTAATACAATTACACACTTTCTTAAAAGTAAATGTACCTGTCCAAGCTAATAATTAACAACAACTCTTTTTATTATTTTCTTTCTGTTTTAGTTTGCAGGTGCGTCACTCACCCCGTCTAGAACCTGCAGCTCCCTGGAGAGCTGCTCAGCGAAAGCCTCAGCATTGGAGACGGCGTACTCGCACATCTCCATCATGCCCTCGATGTCCTGCTCTTCCCGGGTGCTCAGCTCCTGGTAGTCGTCCAGAGCGTCCTCATCGCCCCCGGCAACACTCTGACTCTCACCGCTCGGCACAGACTCTAATCCAACAAACAGAGATGGAAATGTATGTTGAAGATCTCATGATCATAAGTTGAAGACATACTGTTATATATATATATATTTCATCACGTACGGTATTACACACCTCATGAAGAACAACTACAGATGAAAATATATCGGGTGATGGTGAATAGCATTTTTAGAAGAGTCTTTAAACTCCTTTTCAATTAATGGAACTCATTTACCAGCAGCTACTCACTTTTTACTGGGGATGGATGGAGTATAGCTGCAATCTGAAATCGCTACTATCATCTTAATAGACTTTTCCATATTTATTTTATATGATAAAACTAGACTGATAGACCTTTGTTAATGAAACAGCAACTTAACAGACAACTGCACTGGATTGTGCTCTTTAAGAGTTACAAATAATATGGAATATACATTTCGGTCAACCTAGATACAGAGTTCATTAAAGAACACATGACAGTGAATAATCCTGTGAATTAAGGTGGAATGGAAACTTAGAAAAAGCTAAAGGTGGAGTAAACATGACTTAGATATGCGTTATGATTATGAAGAATGAAATCATGCCGAACCGTATTTAGTGTCTTATATTCACACAGAAAGAGCTTTGGGGATGTGAGAGTCTCTAATGAGAATGGTGGTTTAAGGTAATGAGATAACAATGGAGAGGAGTGAGGAAGGGGAAGTTAAGTCCAACCAACCTTCCGCTTTAGGAAGTTCTGGCCAGAGAAAGTTTAAGAGAGAAAAGTGAGAATAAAGAAGAATTTAACACAGAAAGCCATACCACAAACCAAGATACAGAGACGAGGTTGGATACTTTATTAAAACGTGCCATTAATAAATAAAACAAACCAAAGTCTAAGAAAGATTCTTACTTCTGGGCTAAATTAGAACACCTCAAACAGGAGCAACGCACACAAGGTTTAACACTATTGTTTTAAGAGTCAAGCCTTTAAACAAATATAATCAAAGCATGCGCTCACAGGGTTGTCCACAGTAATAAAGGAGTGTTTCCTCACCTTCCAGCAGCTGAGAACTGACATTCACAAACTCCACCTTCTTCCTCAGGTATCGCTGGTTCAGCTTCCAGATGCAGGAGATGAAGGAGTTTTTCTCAGCTGTGCTGCTGGCCACCCACCGGTACACCTTCTCAAAGTGAAGGTCAAACTCAGGATTTTCCTAAACCAAGAATAAAAAGCAAGCATATGATCAACAAATGAGGAAGGAAGGAAACATAATGAGAGCTGAACAAGATAATGGGTGGAAAAAGGACAGATTTAATATTTCTCCGACCTTGCTTGCATCTTTTGCGTCGACTTCTGTCAGATCCCGGAGCTCCCATGTCTGCTGTCGTTTGTAGAAGTCCCCTTTGTCTGATTTCTTCACCTTAACCACTTTAACCTGGACAGGCCTCTCTGTCGTGACTGGAAAAAAATAACAATCATTTAAAAATGTTTATTTATATCCTAAGTTGTCATTTAGAACTGTGTGGTTCATACCTGTCGCACACAAGAAGCAGTTCTTCTTTTTCTTTCCTGCCTTGCAGACATTAACAATGCCGAGGAGACGCTCGTCGTTGGGTGTGAAGATGTCCCTCTGGAGAGCATGCTTGATGGCTGTCATGGTGGATGCTGTCATACAGAAAGTATTAGGTATTTATTATTTTGAACATAAGGAACATACATCCATCCATACGAGCATAAACACTTGATAGCGCTGAAGTTACAGGTAGCTTCCGATTCAGCAGTTAAGGGTAAAGTTAAGGGAAACTTAACTTATATTGCTATGCTACCAATTAGGGCTGCACGATATATCGTGTCGTGACGATAATCGCGATATGCGCATGCAAAATGTTTTCTTCATTTATTTTTTATTTATTTTTTAGGACTTGCGATATTAAGTAGGCAAATTAACTCAAACACATCATGTTGTTACAATTATTTTGCTGCTTGCTACAAAAAGAAAACTTGCGCGGCTCTCATGTCAGGGGTACTTGAGTGAGTGACAGCAAACCACCAATCACAATCAAATCTCCAAAGCAAACGGACCCGGTGATTAAAGGTAAAAACACTGAATAAACTATTTTCATGTGTTTCTCCAGGGCAGTTCGGCGCTGCTAACCGAGCTAGCTCAGCTTGTTGCTCTGATAACTTAAGATCCAGACGTCCGTGACTAAAATCCTTCATCCGGTTAAATATAGTTAAGAAAATACATTACATTACATTACATTACATTACATTGCATTTAGCTGACGCTTTTGTCCAAAGCGACTTACAATAAGTACATTCGACCAGGAAGACACAACCTTGAAGAAAACAGAATCATATAAGTATATCAGGTTTCATAGAGCCAAACATTTCAAGTGCTACTCAACTGGCTTTAGGTAATCCAGTCCTTTATTAGTATAAAAGTGCTTCGTTAATCGTTCTAACGCTCGAAGTGGAGTCGAAAGAGATGAGTTTTCAGTTTGCGCCGGAAGATGTGCAAGCTATCTGCCGTCCTGATGTCAATGGGGAGCTGATTCCACCATCTTGGAGCCAGGATAGCAAACCCACGTGTTTTCGCCGATGGGAACTTGGGTCCCCCTCGCAGCGAGGGCGCAACGAGTCGTTTGGCTGATGCAGAGCGTAGTGCACGCGCTGGGGTGTACGGTTTAACCATGTCCTGGATGTAGGAAGGGCCAGATCCATTCGCAGCACGGTAAGCAAGTACCAGTGTCTTGAAGTGGATTCTAGCAGTTACCGGAAGCCAGTGAAGGGAGCGGAGGAGCGGAGTGGTGTGGGAGAATTTAGGAAGGTTGAAAACCAGACGAGCCGCTGCATTCTGGATGAGCTGCAGAGGTCGGATGGCACATGCAGGTAGACCAGCCAGGAGGGAGTGGCTGTGGCTCGGTGGACAGTGTGCTGGACTTCGAATCAGGGGATAGCAAGTTCGAGTCCCACTGCAGTCAGCATGTCGTTGTGTCCCTGGGCAAGACACTTCACCCCAAATTGCTCCTGTGGGGATTGTCCACAGTACTGAATGTATGTAAGTCGCTTTGGACAAAACATGAGTTGCAGTAGTCTAGGCGTGAGATGACGAGAGCCTGGACCAGAACCTGAGTCGCTTTCTGAGTCAGCTGGGGACGTATCTTCCTGATGTTGTAAAGATACAACATCAAAATACCAATTGTATAGCATTAAAGTTCAAGAAAGGATGGTTTGCGGGGCGAAAAACTGTCTTTTCTTCAATTCCTATATGTTTTCATATCGCAATTTATCCTCCTGGGACCCAGCCCATTTAAAATGTCCACTGTAGTGGACATTTTGTTAACATGCATATCCTTTTACTCTTTTGAGGTACTCTATCAATCCCTGGTGTACTGTACAGAGGACATCCTGGTCTTTCCAGTGATATGTCATTGGTTAACATTGCATGCTGGGAAGTTCCTCTTTCTTTTCATCCAAAATGACTGGCATACGAAAAACAAATTTGTATAGAAGCAGGAGGAGAAGTCAAATATTGTTGAATAATTGTCAATTTTACCATGAAAATCATATATATTCTTGTTTATTAACATGTGAGGAACTATATAATTAGTTCTGAAAGCAATTAATTAAAGTTTTCAAATAACAGCCCTTTTATAAATGTCCATTCTAGTGGACGTCAGGACTATCTTCATGGACTTTATGACTCAATATTGTTGCAGGAGACGGAACTGAAGCAGACATTTTCTGTACCAGAAAGTTCAGGAAGATTAAGATTTTGAGCTCTCAGATGATGAGAGAGATGAGGATTTCACACCTGGGATAGAAGAGGGTCAAGAAGAAGGGGGGAAAGATGCAGGAGGCTCCATGAGCGCACAGATAGATACATAGAGACAGGGACGAGCTGGAAAGACATGGCCCTCTGTGGGCCAAGAGTAGCACGTATGTCTTATTGTTGTTTTTATTTTAAGTGGAGCCATGACAAATGAGAATTGCCTCAGGAATGCAAGCTTTGTTTCTATGAGCAGGTCAAATGGAGACCACATCCATCAAACTAGTCAAGATGACCCTACAGCCCGTGCTGACTGGAGTCAATGAGGTACTTTCCCACTACATTGACTACAAAGTCTTTGAAGATCTGGAAAGATTCACCAAAAAATAAGCTAGTTTTGTATTGACCAAATAAACAGCAATGTTCAGATCAATTACTTATTCATGTTTTAAATAAAGGTGAATGTATTATTGTATTAATATCACTCTATAACCATAATACGTTACATAGTCCATCTGTTAATTTTGGCTGTCTTTTCAAACTAATATGGTCCTGACGTCCTCTACAGTGGATATACTGTAACATTTTAAAATAAAATAAAAAAAGTCTAAATTGCAAGATGTCTTTTTAACCCTAAATAGGTAGGAAATCACAAAAAAAAGGAAATTGGAAGACACTTTTTTTTCTCGGGTCCCAGCGCAGGGGTGGGGGGGGGAATCGTAATGTCAGTTGTTTCCAATATCGTGCAGCCCTACTGCCAATCGTTATTTGTTGCACCTCTTACTGTTGGGAAAGTATGTGAAGACATTTTAGGTAAAGCCTTAATGCTGTCTGAAACCAACTTTCAAATATTTCAACTTAAATTCTATTTGTGAAGTTGCAGAAAGGGGAGTTTGTTCACATCTATTCTAGATCAAAGGCTAATCTGGACTAGATTCAACCAAAGACTCTTTAAGACACTGTTATAGGTTTTGCCAAATCTAGACCCGACTAATTCATGTCTATATTGTTTTTCAGGGGTGTAATATAACTAAGTACATTTACTCGAGTACTGTACTAAGTACAACAATTAGACATTTGTATTTTCACAAAGCTACTTTACACTTTTACTCCACTACATTTTGTAGGCAAATGTGGTACGTTTTACTCCACTACATTCATTGTACATATTTAGTTAGTAGTTACTTTGCTGATGTTGGTTATTAATTAAATCAACACATTATAATATAATATAATAGGATTGTAGGTAATCCTATTATATTATATTATAATGTGTTGATTTTATTAATAACCAACCAGAAGTGTATAAAGTATATCATATAAACTCCACTTTTACCAAGTGGAGTTTATTAAGTTATTAATAACCAACCAGAAGTGTATAAAGTATATCATATAAACTCCACTTTTACCAAGTGCAACATTGAAGTGATTAACACATAAATGCACCAATAATTTTAATAAAATCCTTTAAAATAAATATCTGGTGTTTAAAATTGACATTTTTACAAAACGAAAACTTTTGGTACTTGAAGTATTTTTTTATTGCTGATACTTCTTTTTTTTTTACTTAGGTACAATTATGAATGCAGGACTTGTACTTGTAACTGAGTTACACTGTAGTATTGTTACTTTTACTTAAGTAAATAATCTGAGTACTTCTTCCAGCTCTGTTATTTTTGTATCTGGTTGTATAAGGTAACCAAAGCCACTTAAGGACAAAAAATAGATTTGTTTACTGTCATTTGGACATTTAAGCGTAGAGCTAGTCCTGCATTATTACAAGACACACATCCAGATACACGAATAACGTTTCCATAATAACAGACGCATAATGAACAACCATTGTGATCTTCGTTGTGACTATGTAAATGTCAAGTTAAAATATGTTCAGATGTAATCATACATCCAGCTCTTCTGTTAGCTTACAGGCTACTAGAGTCTCTTGATATTACACTGTGCAATTACACATTGCAGACCGGTCAGAAAACAGATCAACACAGTGTAACAAATACGTTTAGGCAGTCAGCTATCATCTGGAAATGGTAACTTTATATAATGAAGAAGCAACCACAGGACCACCTTGTTGTCCTCTGTCACTGTTAGCTTGCTGGCTGCTAACGTCCCTGCTAGCTTGAGAGAGCTAGCTACTTTAGCATCATTTACGCCTGTTACACAGAACAGGCAGACAGTTGTGAACATATAAGCGACATTATGAACTGTGAATTAATTAAATCAAAATGTATTCTATCTGTATTTTTGACAGGTAACGGTAAATATATTTATAATAAGCGACTACCTTGTTTTCTCAGCCCACCAGCCCTCTGCAAAGCACCGCCCTCTCTTCCTTGTTCACAGGCGGAGCGGTCATGTGACAGTCACACTGTCAACACACCATAGCTGGGGACATTTCCCTACCACTTTTTGAAATGGACAATGTTGTCCCCACCACTTTTTAAAAGTATAACTTATACATGTTCTGCACAAAGAAATATAATAAACAAGAACAATGCTTTAGTGTCAAGATGTGCCATTTTGGACATGTTAGTAAACTTTTAATAGAAAATGTACTACTCTGCTGACTCTAAAATGATTGCGGCAACGTTGTTTGGCCAGTTCGCCTGAATTAAATGTATCTTTTTATTTTATTGTCAGAGAGTACCAGAATGCGTAGTTTACATGTTAAAAGAAAAAATAAATCTTCTGTGGGAGACCCCCGCAGCGGTTCGGTTTGCAAACATGTTTTTCACAACATGTTGTACTTCTTGCGCCAAATACATCAATAAAAGTAAATCAACGTTTATTTAATTAGACCAAGATCACAAATTGTACTTTCGTCTCAGGGGGCTTTACAGTTTATACAGAACATGAATACGCCGGAAATTCCCGGTGCTGTAAGCTTTTGAAATTATGTATTGAAGAGAGAAGAGTCACTGTGTTTCTCCTTGCACCGTGTACAACTTGACACAAAGCTTCCAAATAAAAGTGGGAATGGTCAGAGGAAGTGAAATAAAAACATTACAGCAACTGAAAGATATTGTTAGAGACATGTGCACTTGTTGAAACTTTCAGAGGAATGGAAAACATTTGTTATTTGTTGTCGTATCCACAGAATAGCCTACTATATTTTCGACTTTTATTTTTGTATTTATACATACATTTATTTATTTGTTCTTGTTTATTATTTATTCCTGTATTTATTTCCACATTTATTTATTTCAGTTTTTTTCACATTTATTTATGCTTGTATTTTCTTATTCCTGTATTTATTTGTTACTTATGTCATGTTCTGTCCTCCATACCTGTGTGCTTGTTGTGTGCATACAGGTACAAATTCACTCCAAATCACATCACAGCAAGACCTTTAGTTGGGTGTCTTTATTTTAAAAACACATTGGTGGGCCAGAGGACTATGCATTGGTTTTTCATGCAGGTGCTCAAGGTTCATCACCCAGGGGAGGGACATCATTTGTCTTCTGCTATGGTGATGTTAAATTGTCCCCGCCACCACTTGTTCTAACAATGATCCACCTACAGAGGCAATGACTAATTCATATATTAATAGACGCTAAAATATTGTATATATTAATACACACGTCTGTTTGAATATATTTTTGTATATATACAATTGTATATTCATCCCTTTTATAATACATTTGTTGTGATATACTAAATAAAGCTCATGAATTTTTACTAAGTGACCATTTAGAGGAGTTGAGGCTTTGAATTATGACTTGTCCTGTGATGTCACATATTTATCAGAATCAGCTGACTTTCCTCCATGCAATTGACTCAAAAATATCATTTTAAACTTACTTTTAAAGCGCAAACTGCAAGCTGGGTGCTATAATATAAGAATTATGCATATTATAATACTGACCCTCTCTCTGTTTCTTATCCTATATCTAATAGAACTGCTCGGGTCTTGATAGATTGAGTGGGGAAGTTCATGAGATCTTTCTAGAGGGTTATCAAGAATAACTTTTATCCAATGACCTTTTCCCTCTCTGTCTGTGTCTGTGTATTCTCTTGTTCCGATTAACCCAGCCAAATATTTTTTCTTGTTTTGTATCTATATCTACGCCGGGATCCGGAGTCGAGGCTGATCCTCTTGCTGTAGTCCTGTGTCTTGGATCCTCTATGCTGAGTTCTGGATTAAGTCGTGGACTTCGGGTCGTGGCTGAACCTGTCTCTGCGGTCCTGCCTTGGGTCTCGTCATGCTGCTTCCCTGATGGCTTCCACAGGATTGTAGCTGACATCCTCGTGGATTCATCTTCTTATTACAGACACATGCATTTCCTAACATTCGGTCTATATGCTCAGGCCCGCCTTGACCTGCCATCAGGCCCTGGGGTTGATGGTTTTGTAGGCCCCCTATTTAAACAACAAATCAAAGTCATTTATAGCCTCGGCAGGCTCTGTGATCGCACTTCTCCACTCTGCTCTACGCGCGCCTGGTCCTCTCCTCCAGATGAGTGACGTATCGGGCCTCCCTCATGTATTTGTCCGGTTGCCGTTGGCTCCCCTCCACGTAGCAAGTCCTCGTCGTCCTCTCCATCTCCTCCAACATCCCTCCTGTCTGTTTTTCCTCTCCCGCTACTCCATCGCTATCAGAACCAGACGGCCTACTTGGCTCCGAAGCCCCGCGGCCGGCACCGCTGCCGCTCGGTACAGAACTAATCTGTCCTTCCTCCTCATCCTGGCCTACAGGTTTAAAATAACCTGTAAGCTTCGGCATTTTTTGTAATAGCTGCTTGTCTCGAAACTACTTTTCCCTCAACAATTTCCTTTTCTGAACGCCACTCTCAAACTTTTGGTGTGTGTGTGTGTGTGTGTGTGTGTGTGTGTATGTGTATACGTGTGTGTGTGTATATTTTTGCGTTTGTGTGTATTGTGTTTGTTTCCCGGGGAAAACACTCACGAGAAACACCGGCTGTTGTTATGCCTGCTGTGACGTCAAGTTACTCCGTTCTCCGCTTGTAATTATGCCGTTACAAGCTTCAAAGTTGTATTTATCATCGGAATTTGCCGAAACAAGTTTAATATTCTGAAAGCCAAGACTTTGTTTATTTGAAACCAGATGAAAACAAACTGTAACGGACCCTGCCGTGTTATCTATGATTACTATACGCCTTACATTCATAATTTCAGCCGGAGGGAGGGGGAGTGAGTGGCGAGTGAGAGCTGTCATCTTCCCTTTACAAGCTTCAAAAATGTATTTATCGTGTGATTTTGGAAATAAAAGTTTCATATTCTGAAAGCCAAGACTTTGTTTATTTAAATGTTTTTTTAAAACATCCGAAATATTTTTTTTATTTTTTTTACTTTTTTATTGGCTCATGATAGGCCCCTGATCTCCGTAGGCCCCTGGGCTTCAGCCCAGGTCAGCCCGTGCATTAAGGCGGCCCTGTATATGCTGTAAAATGTATTATCTCTTCGATTTACACACGGCATCTATTGCACGTCTGTCCGTCCTGGGAGAGGGATCCCTCCTCTGTTGCTCTCCCTGAGGTTTCTTCCATTTTTCCCCCTTAAACTGTGGGTTTTCTCTGGATGTTTTTCCTTGTACGATGTGAGGGTCTAAGGATAGAGGGTGTCGTTTTTTCTCATACGGATATTCTGAACAATCTGTGTTGTTGTATTTGCTGTAAAGTGTCTCTACTGTAGGCTATTTTTATTATATGTACAGCACTTTGGCTTGACCAAAAATCGTTTATTAATGTGCTATATAAATAAAACTGGATTTGATTTGATTGATTTGACCGTAGAAAGAGGAAAGTCCGTTGCCCTATTTCTGTTGTGGTAATAATATCTACTGTCAATAACAACAATATATCATTAGCAAATTCTTTATTATACAGCGGTTGCAGCTGTATGGTGTACATCAATTATAATGAAAATCTTTATAGAACTTCAAGGTTGCAAATAAATAAGCGCTTCAACCACATTTTAGAATTTGAGGAACACATTTTTTTTTAACGTAAGCATTTCTAAATTAATACATTTGGATTTGGACTTTTGGAGGAAAATAAATATGGATAGCGAAGTGCAAGATTAAAATGTAGACTCTTGTGTTCTTTTGAGTTTTGAGGTAAGAAAGTTGGTTTACATTTTTAACATTGGCTATTTCAGATTATGCTTCAACATGCCATGCTGCACATATACATGATCTTTTTAAGACACCAGATGGCATTGTTATTCCATAAAATATTTCTAACCACTATATTTTTCCTTCTTTGTGTGTTGTGTTCTTATACACAGTTTTTTAGCTGCATATTTATGTTGTATTGTAGCAATAAAGGTGATAACTATCTACAGCACAGTACAAGCCCATAGAGGCTACTGAGAATGAATGTCAGCCCAGTGAATCAGACATCTGATGAAGAAGAAAGTCACAGATTAACAACTGATCTGCACACAACGCCTTGGGGTAGCTTACACTGTCAATGTTGAAGTTATTGTGCAAAAATACATTACTTTATTTCCCAGCTGGTGAATGAGACATTGTCTGTCATCAACATTCAAATTCATGGTTTACCGATTCCTGTGACAAAAGCTTCCAAACACAACACAAACAGTAATATCTTATTTAAACATATCATTATTCAAGTATATAGCATCATGTTGGGATTGTAGCTCACGGATATCATAATTCAACATGTTGAATTGCTTGAATGTGGAAATAAACAAACAATATTATATTTTGCCTCCAGAGATGTTGTAGGAATTTAAAGTGGTCCAGCCAGTAAATGTCTTATTTGAATAGAATTTTAATAGCTTGAGAAATACTTTTTAATGGATATTCACTGCAACATAAATAAGTTACATATTTTCAAGGTTTGCACGGGAAAAGTCTGTTTGAAAACAGCCAGAATTATCAAATGTCATTATTAAGAGCTAAATAATTTACCATAAATTACTCAATTGGCCTTACCTTCATGTATTTCCATGCAGTTCAATTTAATATTATAACAAATATCTGCATGTTATTCAATTCAACATTTTTATATTTCTTGCTTTCGGCCTATTACGTCAATAAAGATAATATCGTTTTCCGGCCCAACATGTGTACACCACACACATATTATAAAACAGATACACACACACTCTCTATCACAAAGATACACAGGCATGCTCTCTCTCACCCACAGACCCACACACACACACACACACACACACACACACACACACACACACACACACACACACACACACACACACACACACACACACACACACACACACACACACACACACACACACACACACACACACACACACACACACACACACACACACACACACACACACACACACACACACACACAAACACAAACACACACTACTATTATCTTACTTCAACATT